ATAAAGTTGTCAGATGACAAATCTACCCCGAAAGAAGTATCAGACTTAAAACTGGCAAAGAAAAGCAGTTAAAAGGCCAGACGGAACACATACAGACATATATTATTATGTAGAGGGAACAGACACCCATTTTAGATCCTATCATGATATTGAAAAGTATTGTGAGGGAAGGAAATATTAAATTTGAAAAAGATAAGTTTGATTTTAGTGGAAAAACGAAATACTCGGGGAAAGTTAATTTTGTAGAACAGGAGACTAGCTCTGTTTCTGAAGAGGCAAATTCCATAGAAATTGTTATCCCACAAAATTTTAAAGAAGCACGAAAATCAGTAAATGCCGAAGAATGGATAAGGCAATGAAAGAAGAAATTGACACAATGAAGAAAAGAAAAAAAAGGTTTGGGAATTAGTTGAAAAGCCAGAAATTAAAACTATGATAGGAAACAAATGGGTTATACGCTAAAAAGAAATGAAAAGAATCAAGTGGTTAGATACAAAGCACGTTTAGTAGTACATTCAGGCAGATTAAGAGGCAGAAAGAGGTGAAGATTTGATGACGTTTACAGTCCTGTAGTAAAATTTTTCAATCATAAGAATATTTTCACTATCCTGGTATGTTTACATGGATGGACTAATTGTCAGTTAGATGTAAAGAACGCATATTTATATGCAAACCTAAATGAGAAAATATATATGACCCAACCAGAGGGATTTATCGAAGAGAAAAATAAAGTGTGTTTATTACACAAGGCCATTTATGGTCTACATCAAAGCGGCCGTGAATGGTTTTGTGAATTTGATAATACTTTAGAAAATCTACATTTTAAGAAAATACAATGGTGTAATTGTGTTTATAAGAGTTCAAATGCAATTATTGTTATATGTAGATGATATTGTGATTTTTAGCAAAGATCAATATAGTATAGATAAAGTAATTTCACAGCTGAGTTGTTTTTTTTATCTTAAAGTATTGGGAAAACTAAAACGTTACTTGGAATTGAATTCTTAGAGAATGAGAATGGGGTTTTTATACATCAGCAAAAATATATCGAGGAAATTTTTGAAAAATTTAAACATTTCCAGATACCAATAACTTCACTTCCCATAGCTAAAGGCACTATTCTTACAAAATTAGATTGTCCATCTACAAGTGCAGAAATTGCGGAAATGCATACATTACCCTTTAGAAATCTGTTAGGATGTTTAGTTTTTGTAGCTAACAGGACAAGGCCTGATATTACATATGCGGTGAATATCTTATCACAATTTCAGGCAAATCCTGGAATTAGGCATTGGGAAGCATTGTTGAAATTGCTTGGTTATCTCAATAGTACTAAATTATATAAGTTAAACTTATCGAAAATTAAACATATAAATTTATATTGTTATTCAGATGCTGATTATGCAAGTAATAGAGATGACCTGTTGTGTCATGGGAGGATTTATATTATATTAGATGAAGTACCGGTAATCTGGAAAACTGTTAAACAAAAATGTGTAAGTTTATCAACCATGGAAGCGGAGTATATCACCTTATCTGAAGCAGCGAAGGAATTAATGTGGACGAAAAATGTCTTACAAGATGAAATTTTAATTTAAGAGAGTGTAAACTATTTTGTGATAACAAGTCTGCCAATGATTTTTCTAGATCGCCAATAGAAAATGACCCAACTAAGCACATAGACGTAAAATATCACTTTGTTAGAAAACTAATAAATGATGGAGTGTTGACCTTGAATTTATTACCAGTAAATTAAATACTGCCGACTTATTTACAAAAGCAGTGACTGCTGTTAACTTAAGAAAGTTTTGTTTAGATATTTTCAGTGTTTAAAGACAATAAGTGTTTTCGTATAATAGAATTGAACTATGAACTTCTGTAATTCTGTGTAAGTTTTGTTTTTGTGTTTGCATGAGGAAAAGAGGGCCGTTTGTTGGCTTTAGTTTTCCACATGCAAATTTTGATCGGAGATCAATCGGCGGTAAGCTAACATGGTTGCCGCTGATTGGCCGATGACATCAAGATCGGCAGGTTGGACGAGTATTATATATATGTACGCCGGTATCGGCGAATGTCTTGTTTTCTTGTGTTATTATGAGTTAGCATAATGCTAGTTTGCTTTCAATCAATTCTATTTTATTTACGGAATAAAGCATGAATTTTATTTAGATTAGTCTTAGCTTTATTTAAGGGAAGCAAAATATGCTTTGCCTTTATCACCACTGCCAACAAAGGTCTTATGCGCATGCGTCGAGTTGACGCATGCGCAGAAAGTTTTTAGCTTTGAGGTCCAGATTATAGATCATTCCGGATTATGGCTGTCCAAATTAACGACTTTTGACTGTATACATATAATAAAATAAAGTGTCTCTGTGTGCGTTTTTCATTAGCATTGCACGTAATCTAATAGACCCACGGATACGAAATTTGGTACATAGGTGCATTTAGACAAGAGCCAGTGCACCTCGAAGCGATTTTTTCGAAATTTGAATTAAAATTTTTTTTAATTTTATGTTTTGTGACGAAATTGCACCATTTTGAGACATAATGGGCTATAGGAAAGCGAGAATTTACTCTATACACTCCATTTTCACATCGTCATGAAACGTAGGCACTTAGCTATTTTAAGAACTTAAAATAAATTTTGTGTTACAATAAATCGATTAAATACGAATTTATTTAACAAAGTGAGCTTAACACCTTTGCAATGGGATTTTTTCTAAAAAAGATTATTTTAAAAAAATGTACTGTTTATTTTCCTTTGATTTTTGGACACGTTAAACTTTCATCCTTGCACCTGCTTTTACAAAAAGAATTTTTGAAAAAATGATAATATTTTGCATTTTTAAAAACTTTTTTAAATGAAGCTTCCAAGTACACTTCTCACATCTTTAAAAATGTGATTTTGGCAACAATTTTCCTTTCTTATTGTTGTTGATAAATTTTTGATGAAATCGCATCATTTTGAATAGTTTCATTCTTTTAGAAATATGGGTTTGGCAACAATTTTTCATTGCATTTCTTATGTCACTGTTTTTAAGACATTGGCATATTTCATTGTCATTTTTATATATATATATAATACATTTTTATTGATTTTTTTTATAAAGTTTTTGTTCTGCAGAGTAAAATTCTGCGTGGAATTTTTTGGTTTTTGAGTTTCTTTCATGTTATTTTTTGCTTATTTCACTGTTTGTAAGATATTAAAAAGTTTTGCATGTTTCCTTTTTTTTTTTTTTTTTTTTTTTTTTTTTTTGGAAGTTTTCTGCAAAGTAAAATTCTGCACAGTTTCTAAATTCAACATTTGGTGTTCCCTTCAGGCATTTTTACAGTATATTTAAAAGCCAGAGGAAGGCTGGCAGCGTAGCTGCTAGTTACTTAATAAAATCATAAATAAGAAAAATATGAAACATGAAGTACTCAAAATACAATTGACTCTTGCTATAAGAAATTCTGATACAAGAAATTTTTAGTTACAAGAAAGTGAAATAAAAATTTGCTAATGCGATGTTAAAGATTTTAAGCAATTTTTCATTTTATAAGAAATATGTGTCAAATTTTGGATATAAGAAAGTCCAAATTGGTCTACCAACTAAGTGCACTTTATCTTTTACCTTCCAAAGAATTTTTTTCGAGATCAATTTAAAAGTAATCAATGAGGTGTTTCTCAAGGTCTTTTTGTCTTCTACACATGAACTTAAAAAATATAAAAATTCCATTTTGTGTCATTTTTCTAATATAAAAGAAAAACTTTTAGAATTCAGCATGTAAGGTTTATTTCAATTAACACTTAACTTTATCTTAAATCTATTGTGCATTCCTATTTCCTTCCATCAGTTCTGCCACTAGAAATCGAAGTTAAATAGGTTTTAAATACTGCTTACCTTTTTTTAAAAAAATCCAAGTTATTAGGTAATTAAATTACTATCTCTTTTATGCATAGCTAAAACTTCTTAAATTTAGACTCTGCAAGAACCAGTGATTTTTAATTTGTTAAGTTTTTAGTTTGTATCCATAAGTCATAGTAAATTTATGTAATAAACTTTAATTTATGTATAAGTTCCAGTAAACTTTAGTTAAAATCCAACTAAGTTAAAAAAAACTTTAATTTTATCTTATAGTGTGTAATTAACGTTTTGGACTTTTAAGATAAGGGCACAGTACATAAACTGAATGCAACCTCGGAAGGTATGTAAGCATGAAGTTAGATATCAAATTACTATATTGAACCTTACAAACATTAGACAAATCAATCATATTTGTCAAAATTAATCTTTGACAATAAGTTAGCAAAAAATTATTTATGGTAATTTTGGATATGCATATTATTACAAAATATAGTTTCTAATGCATAATCTGCACTTTTACATATCCTTTGATCAGTCCAATATGATAAGATTTTCATTAGATTTGTTTCATCAATTCTCATTTTGTTACCATTTGTTTCCTCTTCAAGGCATAGATTTCATAAGATTAATTTAGGTATATAATAAGTTTAAAGCTCTGCTAGGTGAGAAAAAAAGAAAAACACTCATCAAAGCAGTTGATTTCTTCACAAAAGTTTACTTAGAAAAGAAGTCTTAAAATTTTATCCATTCAGAACCAATTGCAATTACAAGAAATAAATTTTAATTCTTTAGCTAAAAATCAAGTTTTTAAACTTAGATAAAAAAGCTGAAAATCAACTGCTTAAAATCAGATAAAAAAAGCAACCTCAGTTTGGCATAGATTTTGAACATACCAAATGTAAAAGCAACTAGACACAACTCATTCTTCTTTCAGCAAAAGGGGGGGAAGGTCCCTCCCCTTCTTTCCTACACAGGAGCCTTTGTCTGACTGCCCTTAAAATCAACACAGTTTTGTTCACAATCTATTCCAAACTGAAGTTCTTTAGCTGCCAAATTACATTTTTCATATCAGCATGTTTCTCTTCCAATTCCAGAGTCAAATTATTAAAAAAAAGTGAAAGTAATATTAAAAATTTAAATCTGAAAACATACCTGATAAATTCCATGATAACACATGAACATGATAATCTACTTTAATAACTGCCGTCTGTACCCACTGGTAATCCAAACGCTATTAATAAAAAGAACATAGAATCAGTGTTTATTATTAAAAGTGCAAGATTACTAATTTTAATAAAAGCTAAAAAAGTTAACATTTTTATTATTATTATTATGGGGTTTCATCTCTCTAAGCAGCAAACAGCAGTTTTGTTACGATCATAATTGGGATTTCCTTTTTTCTTTATAATTTTATATAAAGTCATATTATAAAAGTGTAATAAACTAAAACTAAAGAAATTTTTAAAATTAAAAAAAAAAAAAACTAAAGTTTACAAATAATAATGAGACAACAGTTCATACAATTCATATTTTATTAAGCATCTTGATGCCACTGAGAAGTATGTAAACATTTTTGCTGCACATATAAATATTTTTTATTACAGTTTGACAGTTACATTAAAGAAGCTTATTGTTGGCAGTAATTCATGAATTCCTAATACTTATTCGATACATACTTTATATGTAAATTAAAGACTCTTGAGGATTTTTAAAGGTAATGAATGAAAAAAATTAAGGACTTATAAGCAAACAGAATTGAAGAAATTAAAGAAATTATGTGGGTAACTGGTTTCGCTCTTACAATTCTGTCCTAATCATAAAAAAAAACGCAGAATGCATTACTACTAAACACAATCTAATATTAATCGCAACTATAAAAACAAGTTTGAAAATGCCCCTGTGATAGCTCTCTGTTACGCACTTTTATGTTCTTATTTTATGCATTGATGTCTTGTAATATATCATTTGTGAACCTGTCTATTCGGCCAAAACTTCCCCACTACATTAAATGCTGAAGTTCTTGGCTACTTATTATTTCATTATGAAATATGTAGAACGTAGTTTGTCTACTACTGTAATACCACAATATACACAGAGCCGGATTTAGACTTAATGAGGCCCTACACTAGTTGAGATATGAGGCCCTTTATGAATCTGTTACACTATGTTTTAATATAATATTTATAAAATATTTTGATTTTTTTAGGAGGGGCCTAAGTTATAGCTTCTGTAACTAACGTAAATCCTGCACCAAACGTACGCCACAACACAATAGAGCTTTCTCTGCCATACCTTTCTAACAAATTCTCTTAAAATTATGCTGATATTGTTCACATGAGTACATAATGCCTATTACAGCATTCAATCATAACTACAAAGCAGTGAAATATGAATCTTCATTTAATAATAATCAATAAGCCAATGCTTTACACCAGGATTACACACATCTAAAAAGTAAAGACTTTTGTAATGAAATACATTTGTCAAAGTGGCTCTTTAATAGTACTATGATGTGATGTTAATGATAGATATCCGTCTTCCTTCTCAAATATTATGTACTAGTATTCTGTAATATAACATTTAAAAATCTGTCCAGCCACCACAAAATTTCCTCAAAACCTGAAGATTAAATCTGTTAAGTTCTTCAGATACTAATTACACTCCTGGCCATTACAATTGCGACACCAGGAAGGAATGATCTGACAAATGTCAAAATCATATGAAAGAAAGAAGAGGTTGGGATATGCAAATGATCAGTATTTCAGCCCATTTAGACGCAACAGGAGCGAGAAACGACATCTGAAGCACTGCATAAAAGAAAGGTTGTGTAGTGTATCTCTTATGAGGAAAGCACTTTGTAAGGTTGGAGTTTGCTCAGAATACTGTGTTATGTCTCGAATAATAAGAAGAAATGCTTACCATCATGTGTCGGACTGCGATAGAGGCAGGATCGTTGCCTATCGAGAGTGGGGATTATTGTTTCAAGATATCACACTGGTCAACATCCAACCACTATCTTGTGAATATGGAATCAAATGGGTTTCTGAGGGTCATAATAAATGGCATGCATGATCTTAAGACCCACCTATGATTGAGAGGGCAGACATATTGTGAGATCAGCCCTGCAAAACCATACAACTAGATCACAGATCATTAGTCAGGAAATGGGCATGTTTGCAACACGCCGAGTATCCGCTCGCACGTCACGTCAATGTTTGCAGCTGCGTGCACTGTCAACATGAGAACCATTACTTTGGCTTCCCTTGACAATGAAGCATAAAGACAGATGGCAAATCTGGTACGACAAAGCTGGGTATAGGAGTGGCACAATGTCGGCTTTTCAGACGTGTCCCGGTTCTTCGTGCAGTATTCTGATAGCTGGATACGTATCTGAGGCTCCGAGAAGACCACATATCACCTGTTTGCATTCAATATTGGCATAGGCACCCTGCTCCTGGTGTAATGGTTTGGGCAGCCACTGGGTACACAATACGCACATCTCTAATTCAGATTGACGGTAATTTGAACGCAGATCAGTACATTTCTGGCATCTTACAACATCCAGTGGTTGAATCCTCTTTGAGGCCTGCACATTTCTAGTTTGGATCGAAAGTAATTTGAACGCAGATCAGTACATTTCTGACATCTTACATCCAGTCGTTGTGCCCTATCTTTGAGGCCTGCCAAACACCTTCTTCCAACAAGATAATGCAAGACCACATGCTGCACATCGTGTTCTGACCTTCCTTGAGACACAGGCTATTTGATTGCTGCCTTGGCCTGCACAGTCTCCAGATATGTCACCCATTGAAAACATCTGGTCATTGCTTGCTGAGAGACTGGCCTGCCACCCCTCTCCAGCTAATATGGTTGAATAATTGTGGCATACACTTGAAGCAGCATGGAATGAGTTGCCTGTTTCTGTCATCCAAGCCCAATTTGACTCTGCTTAACCAGGTAAGGGTCGTTTTAGATGCCAAGGGTAGAAGCTGTTTCTACTAATTTTGCACCTCTGTAAACCCTTAACCCCTTAACTGCCACGGGCGTATATATACGCCTTGCTCAGCCGATGCGTTAACTGCCCCAGGCGTATATATACGTCCTTCCAAACTGCTATCATTTGCTTTGCGCTGCTACACCTAAAATTATTCGCAAAGTTAACGCATCGGCTGCGCATCTGGGGCAGTTAACGCATCGGCTGAGCAAGGCGTATATATACGCCCGCGGCAGTTAAGGGGTTTAACTGCTTACAAATTTAATCATTCTATCTTCATGCCATATTGTTTACATACAATAAATATTTTTTTTTTATTTGCTTTCCTCCATGGTGTTGCAATTTTAATGGCCAACAGTGTATATGGCATGTTTTCTGGCATTCTTTTTGGAATGTTTTCTGGCATTCTTTTTGGAATGTTTTCTGGCATTCTTCTAGCATACCCTGAATAACAATGCTCAAAGCACTGAGTAATGCTGAATGTTTAAACAGAAACAAAGAAGAAATGAAAATTATATTAGTTTCATCACTCATCAGCTTTACTGCATTTCTGTCAGCCAAAAATTAAAGAATGCTTGCAGAGTGCCAAACAAGCACTGTAAAACACATACTGTATCAATAAAAGATAAACTGACCTGAATATAAAATTTAATTTATTTTTAATTTTTGATTATATATGCCTATGGTATAGAAATTCACTTACATGGCTAGAAGATTGATTTAGAAGTGGAGTTGGTTCATATATACAAACTTCTTTTCCATAAGCAGCAGCAATCTAAAAAATATATACATAAAACAATTAGTTAAATTATCAAACAACTATGAAATTTTACAGATTTTTAATTGCAATTAAAAATCTGTTAAATTTTGGAAAGATAGACATTAGGCTAATTGGAAACCAGAGAGATGAAAAATGAGCAAACACCTTCGCAGGGAATCGAACAGTGGACCTCTGGAATACCGGCCCAGTGTGCAGAACCACTACACCATGAAGGCACACTAGGAAAACAGGAGAAATACTTTATATACTCCCCTTTTTAAAGAGCGACTGGGGTTTTAAGGGACGCAATCACCACATCCTGAGTGTGGAGAGTCATCATGCACAACCCTTTTAGTTCGGGCCCCACTGTAGAGACATTTGGATTTTTTTTAGAAGCAAACAGATTGAAAAATTAACAAACGTCTTTGCCGGGAACTGAACCGCGACCTCTGGAATACAGGCTCAGTGTGCAGAACCACTACACCTCGAAGGCACACTAGGAAAACAGGAGAAATACTTTATAGATATCACACAAGACTACATATTACAGAAAGGAAGGAAATATGGTCAATCTGAAACAGTGTAAATAATGCACTTTTTTAAATATTGAAGATTCTAAATAACTAGATAAATTTCAAAAACATCCAAAAGTTATCAATGAGAAATTCAGGACAGAAATTAATCAAAATACAACTGCAATAAATAATAATAAATAACTTGGTGCTGTAGAGAAGAATTATCAGTACCGTTCTGTACCAGATTCAGGATTGGATCCAGAAATGTAATATATGGATGGATGTGTTTCATATATGCATGTACATACACATTATCATGAATGCATGTGTGTGTATGCATATATACACATGCACATGCATTTCTGAATACTATCTTGATAACAGAACATTAATTATGCATAACAAACATTAATTATTCATAATTAACGAATTATCCATAGCAAACATTAATTATCCATAACAAATTCATTCCTAACTTTACTTCAAACCTTTTACACTAACAAGTATCATTCTTAGTATCATTCTGAATGACTTGCTACTGCCTCACAAAGCACTACAAAATTGGGATTACTTCTATAGGCACTGAAAAACTTTTTTGCTTAAACATAGAAAATTTCAATATATTATTATGGTCAAAATAGATATACCACTTCTGTTTTTCGCCTGCGCAACTGTGATGTAATCCACGCATGTGCATCTGTAATGTGATGATCAGACGAGTTTGAGAATCGCCATCGAGGGTGTACGAGGGCTGGTGACAGCCATGAGTTAATAAGTGATTGTAACTAGTTTCGTTTTTGAGAACGCAGGAGTGTTTGTTCATTTCAACAAACACAGCTTGTTAATTTCAACCCAGCTTGTTCATTTCAACGAATATCACTGATTTTAGATAAGGATATTCATCCAAAGTGAATCACTGCAGAAGTAAGTGATTCCTCTCTTGTTAATTCTGTACATTCTGTGCTTGTTCTCTTATAAATAACGTTATTTAAGGGTGTTAAAAAAGAAGATTTAAGGCGTATTGCCTTAGAAATAAATCTAAATGTTGACGAAAAAATGACTATAGCAGATTTAACTGATATTATTGAGAATAGTGAAATTTTTTAAACTAAACTAGATTTAGTAAAAGAGATAACAAACTCTATTATCGAAAATAGGAAACAAGAGCAAAAACTTGTCAAGTCAGAAAAAAAAAACTTGAGAGATCAAAGAATGAGTTAGAGTTGGCTAAGCTTAAAGCAGAAACTAAACTTGATGGTGTAAGCAAAATCGGAACAAAATCAGAGTCACTAGATCAATTAATAAAAAGTATCAGAACCTTAACTGTAAAAAATCCTATACGGCCTGAGAGTTGGAGATTTTTCTTTTCGTCATTAGAACGAGCGTTTATTACAAAAAATGTTTCAGAGGACTATAGAGCAGAAATTCTGTTAAATCTGTTAGGAGACAAAGCTTCGAATATAATAACCTATTCACATGATAAGGATATTGCGAATTATGAAAAAGTAAAAGAAGCAGTTCTGAAGGAGTTTCAGCCAACACCATATTTGTGTTTAAAAAACTTTAGAAAAACTGTTAAACAACCACATGAAACTCATGTGCAGTTCGCTTCACACTTAGTAACTACCTGGGATTATTATCTAAAATTAAAGAAGGTAACTGACTTCGAGACCCTCAAACAACTAATACAGTCAAAAGTCTTTAATCCGGACTCGTAGGGACTTTGACGATTCCGGATTATCGATTTTTCCGGATTATAGATCATAAGTTAAAATCTGGTAAGATGGCATGCAGAAATTATAAAATTAAAAATATGAAACCGTAATTTATAAAATAATGAGCAATTATGATCTAAAGGGTATAAAAATTTACAAAAAAAAAAGCTTAATATTTATTTGTTTACTTTATTAAACATTTCTTTCAACGCGCACATGCGTAAAGCATACATTATGCATAACCAAAATTAGAAAATTGCAACCAGAAAACTATTTGATTTGTATTCGTGATATTTATGACGACGAGGAATTTGATTTAAATCATATCAAAGGAGTACATCGAGATGAAATACTACATTTAGTACGGAATTATAAGCCAAATAAAATAAAAACATCTGCCCTGAAGATAACGATAGTGCTGACAGATCAACTTCCAGTTCATTGCGCGCCGCGACGTTCCCCTTCCCCCCCCCCCCGGCACAGAGCAGCATGAAATTAATAAGCAGATTTCAGAACGGTTAGATAAACAAAGGATATGCCTTTATCCATTTTTGGAGCAATTCCACTCTTTGTTTGATGGAACATCGAAACATTTCGTTTTGTAGATCCTTTCGGAGCTCCAGCATTAGAAATTCTATTTGATATAATCGAAAGTTCAAGCTTACTTTTATAAAATTGCTCTTACAGTCTGCAAAAAATAATAAGCCGGATTAAATTCAAAGATTAAGGAACAATGCAATCATCAACATTAACTGAAATAGATAATTAGATCATTTTAGCTTATACCTTCCGTTATACATTAAACACGCACGCGAAAACGTATTCTGCGCTTGCTCACATACATATGCGCAGTTGTAAAGGTCTTACGTGCACACATATACACCTATGCGCATGCGTCAACGCGGCGCATGCGCAGAAAGTTTTTAGCTTTGAGGTCCGAATTATAGATCATTCTGGATTATGGGTGTCCGAATTAACGACTTTTGACCATAGTTTCAGATAGGTTATACCAATCTTTAGATAAGGAAACAGCTTCCCACATTGCAGTGAGGCAAGGTGATTCATGGTTTTCACCTAGTAAGTTAGGTAAAGAAATAGATTTATATTTAATGTCACGAGGAAAACCTCTTACTGAGAATTCTCAAGTTAATCGTAAGTATACCAGCTCAAAAAGTGTAGCTAAAGTGTTTTTGTCAGATGGTAAAACAGAGAACTGTATTTTATGCCACGAGAATCATGGATTGGCAAATTGCCCATCGTATTTAAAATTACTGGTACTAGGAAGAGTACAGGTTGTAAAATCTAATAAATTATGTTTTAACTGTCTACATATGCATTCAGTATCAAATTGCCCATTGAAATATTCTTGTCAAAAACGGCACCACAAAACTATTCATTTTCCGAAAGCAAATATCGTAAAGGAGAAAGAATATTCTTCATCGGAACAAAATAAAAACAAAACAAATGTATCTACTGCAAGGTTCCCAAACGAGATGACTCATCGACCTTGAATGTTAATGCGCAGGAGTTCATTCAAAAGGCATTTATTAGCAATTATTCAAATAAACAGAATACAGCTCTGCTTTCAACCATTGTATGTTTTTTAATTGATAAGGAGGGAAGAAAACACAGAGTGAAGTGTCTGCTGGACGGCAGCAGTATGTTGAACTTCTTGACATGTAATTTTATTGAGCATTTGCAGTTAGAGAAAGAAAAAACAAACATTTCGATTTCGGGAATAAATGATGCTACTTTAACACCTTCGCGCAAAATTAAAATTTCAGTGCAAGATCTTTTTACTTTAAAATTAGCAGATGAAGGATTTAATGTTCCAGAAAAGGTAGATATGTTGTTGGAGCGGGAGTTTTTTACGAACTTTTGAAATTGAGTCAAATTTGAATGAATAATCCTGATCTTATTTTTCAAGATACAGTTTTTGGTTTTATCGTGTCTCAAAGTATTCCAACAGAGACTGAAAACAGGGTTCATTGTGGGTTGATAAAGTAAGAAGTTGCTCCATAGCTAACCACAGTTACCTATGGAACTGTGAGTGCACCACCATCTTTAGCAATGAGAACACTTGTACAGCTGTCAAAGGATGAAGGAGATAAATTTCCTTTAGCAGCACCTGTACTGAGAGAAGATATGTACATGGACGATATTCCATCTGGAGCCGAGTCGCTAGAACTTCAAAATCAGTTAATATGCATTTTGAGGAGTGGAGGCATGTTACTCCATAAGTGGTGTAGTAACGCTACTAAACTGTGTCAAACGACAAAACATATCCCTTTGGTAAATCAGAAGAATCTAAAGCATTGGGTATTATATGGAGGTCAAAAAGAGACTGTTTGAGCTTCAACGTTAAAATCGAAGATAACGTAAAGGTTACGAAATGGCAAGTGTTATCCGTCATATCTCACATCTTTGACCCATTGGGTATAGTTTCCCCAGTTATAATTATAGCAAAAATATTTATGCAGAAATTATGGCTACTTAAAATTGAACTGGAATGATGTTCTGCCAGAAAAGGAGGCTAAAGAATGGAAAGAATTCTCCACTACCTTGCAGCTAATTAACAACATTGAAGTCCATAGATGTATTTTATTACCAGATACAATCAATATTGAATTACATGGTTTCTGTGATGCCTCAGAGGCCGCCTATGGAGCAGTTATCTACTGTAAAGCAACATCAGCAACAAACCATACATCAGTGAGGTTGGTGTGCAGTAAATCGCGTGTCTCCCCCTAAAGAAGACTACAATCTCCAAGACTTGAGCTTTGCGCAGCAGTGCTATTAGCTAAACTAATGCATCGAGTGAAATCATCATTAAAATTGGAGCTTACTGCTATTCACCTTTGGACCGATTCTATGATTGTGCTGTCATGGATCAAGAAAGAGCCACATCTGCTCAAGACATTTGTTGCAAACCGGATTTCAAAGATACAAGATCTGACTGAAATTGCACAGTGGCATCATATCGCTTCTGAAGAAAACCCATCAGATCTCATATCTAGAGGTATGGCTGCCAAAAGACTGCAACTAAGTCAACTGTGGTGGAACGGGCCTGACTTCTTAATGAAGGATGAGTACCCTATAAGAGTTATACCTGAAGCAATTACTGAAAAGGACAGTAATGAACTTAAAAACTTTGCTGATTCTGAACTATCAACATGTTTAAATCTAAATGTGAATAATTTTGTTAATGATTTATTGAATTGCAGTAATAAGTATTTAAAATTAATTCATATTATAAGTTTTTGTTTTAGGTTTTACAAGAATTGTAAGCAAGAACAAAAGAAGGTAGGTAATTTACAAGTGGAAGAATTGAGAGCAGCTGAAGAAGCTTTATTAAAATTAGTGCAGGGTGAGTATTTTATAAATGAGATAAATGATCTTAAAAAATCAGGTATTGTTCCAAGAAATAGTTCTATTAAAAGTCTTAACCCTTTCATTGACAGTAATGGACTGTTGAGAGTTGGAGGTAGATTAAGAAAATAGCAATTTAATTATGAGAAAAAATTACCTCCAACTTGTCCTATTATTCTGCCTTTTAAACATAAATTAACTGAGTTAATAGTTAATTACTATCATTTAAAATATTTGCATGTGGGTCCTCAATCTTTGTTATATCATATAAGACAAAAATTTTGGATTATAAGTGGTAGAAATGTTTGTAGAAAAATTGTAAAAATTGTATAATATGTTTTAGAGCTAATCCCATTGTAGCTCAGCAAATCATGGGTGATTTACCCAAGGAAAAAATCACAGCTAATCTTGCATTCAATTGTACTGGAGTTGACCTCTGTGGCCCATTCTTAATTAAGTACAAAAACCAGAGAAAAGGTATATATCAAAAAGTTTATCTGTGTATATTCATTTGTATGGTTACTAAGGCCATTCATTAAGAGCTGATAACAGACCTAACACCTGAAGCATTAATAGCTACCTTGAAACGTTTCTTTGCACAAAGAGGTAAAAGTTCTACACTATTTAGTGATAATGCTACGAATTTTGTAGGTGCAAATGCATAATTGAAGAGGTTAAATAAACTAGTGAATGAACAAGATGAGCTTTTAGCTGATTATTTGAGTTCTGAGAATATCAAATGGAAATTTCTCCCTGCCAGAGCACCCAATTTTGGAGGTCTCTGGGAGGCTGGAGTTAAATCTTTTAAGAGCTACTTCAAACGTGTCGTAGGTAATGCAAAATTGACATTTGAACAATTTTTAACAGTTATGATTCAGATTGAAGGAATTTTAAATTCCTGACCATTGACACCCTTGTCTTCGGACATTGATGATTTAGAAGTTCTAACACCTGAGCATTTTTTAATTGGTAGAGCAATTAATTCGATCCCTGAGTCAGATATCACAGAAGTTAACATTAATAGGTTGAAATTGTGGCAACAGATCACAAGATTAGTACAAATTATCTGGAAAAAATGGAACTCTAATTATTTAAGTCAAAATCAATTTCAATGGCAAAGCTCTAAAAACAATATACAAGTTGGAGACATGGTCTTAATTAAAGATAATTTGCCTTGTTGTAATTGGGTGGTTGGTCGTATAATAGAAATATTTTTTGTTAAAGATGGAAAGGTTTGCGTGTGTTATGTAAAAACTCAAACTGGAACTTTCAAATGACCAATTATCAAATTATGTGTTATTATTGTATAGTATTGAATGTGCTTCACATAAAATGTCATTATGTAACTGAAATGTTATATTGCATTGTTTTGAGTTATACACTAATGTATATGGTAAATGTTTAATTATAATAATGATTTAATAATAATTATAATAATAATTATAATAATGATTTTATGTAATACTACTTATTCAAAATTGTTTATGATATACTTGTTTAAATTTCTTTATACTATATCTTAATTACAATAGTTGAATGTTACGCATTTCAATGCAGGGCGGCATGTTTGCGCGTGTGCACCTGTAATGTAATCCACGCATGTGCATCTGTAATGTGATGATCAGACGAGTTTGAGAATCGCCATCAATGGTGTACGAGGGCTGGTCACAGATATGAGTTAATAAGTGATTGTAACTAATTATGAGAATTAATAAAGAACCAGCGAATTTATTACAGTGTTACTTGGGATGAGACCCAAACAACTTCTATACCAAACAGTTGTCAGCATCTTCTATTTACAAATATTAATCATTTTATATAAATGCTTTCTTAAATTATAAATTTGGATGCTACTTTGGTAGACAGTTACACGGATTTTGGGTGATTTACTTTGGCGCAATTGTTGGCGTGGTTTTTACAATCATCAGCCATCTTGAAAAACGCTGTTTTTACATATTTTGCCCATAGTAAAGTATTTGAAACTTTAAAAAAAATAAATATTGTTAAAAATAATGGATTCATTTTTTGTTGAAAATGTTGTTTTTTAAGATGACAGGCAAATGTAAATAAATACATTTACTACGAGTATAAAATGCTAAAGTAAGGTTAAATTATTACTTCCATATGGCAAAGAAATAGAATAAAAACACCGCTATAAAAACATTGCGCCAACGTTTAACTGGATTAAAATATTACGTAAATTGAATATCAAATTAAAAACCATATACCAACGTTTAAAAAATTAAAATATTACTTAAATTTAAATACTTTAAACTTTGATTAGGAAAGCCACGTTGGCCAAAATAAGGTCTCAAAGGACAATTTTTTTATTCTGATACCAATAGTTCTTGGTACTTACCAATAACAACATTAATCTTTGAAAGGGACATATCCATTTCCTATGAAATCTAAGGAATTCGAAGAGATGAATAATAAAATTTTAAAATGGCACGGTAATGCACAAATATTCAGTAACCAATCAGGGAGCTGATTACAGCTTGTTAATGCACAAATATTCTGTAACCAATCAGGAAGCTGATTACATAGATGCCTAGATTAAAATTATTTAAATAATCATACATAATAAAATGATTTAAAAAATGCAAAAATAAATTGTATTTTAATATTTAACAGCCACAAATAATGTTTAAAATATTAAATTAAATTTATAGATATTAAAACCAATTACTTTTAAAGACAGGTGACGTCATTGATTACATCATCCATGACATAAATTATACAAAATATCATAAACAATAAAATTTTTATTTCAAATAAAAATGCAAAATTAAATTGATTTTTAATATTTAGAAGGCATAAATAATATTTAAAACACAGAATTTATGCATAATAAAATGCATTATTTTTTAAATAAAATGACAACAAAGTATTGGTTACCATAAATAACTTCTCCAGGAATGGGTTAGCATCATATCGCTCGCCAAAAAAAAAATTAAAAATCACCAAAATTCGTGCAACCGTCTACTAATTTAAGCACCTAAATTTGATTAATATTTAAGTCTTCTAATAATGCTTGGCATCAATCTGTTACACACTGCCAGAAAGTGTTACACCAAAGAAAGTAATGGCTTTTGTTAATTAACAGGAATGCCCCATTCTTTGGCCTCTTACGAGTCTTGATTTAAAGCCAATAGACCTTTTTAAATGGGACTATGTAAAATTAAAATAGATGGTGTACTCAAAAAACAAAATTCATAATCCAACCATTTGAAAGACAGAATTATTGCAGCTGTTATTACAGTCGCACCAGATATGATCCAGTGAATAGAATACTGCTTTCATACCTGCGCAGCAATCAAAGGAACTCGCTTTGAAATTTATGAGTTTTAAAAAAATTTGAACTTTCATATTTATTTTCCGATATAAATTGTTTAGCTGTCTCAAATACATTTTTCTATTACAGCTATTTAAAATTAGATCTATCTTTTTAATAACCTTATTAAAATACCAATTTTTTTTATCAAGAATGAAATATAATATATAGATAAAGGTACAGTACCAAGTTACAATAAATACACTCACTTTCCCAACATCTGTAGAAGAATCTAAACATCCTACTTGAACATTGCCATGAATTAAACCAGGTATGATTTGTACCCTTTGGAAGTTACTTGCTAGAATAACTATATTGCATCCAGATGCATATGCCTACAAACACAGAAGTATGTTTAAAAGAAATCAGAAACAGTTGCTACTAATAATGCTAACTCACAATTTAAAAAGAAACACAATCATGCAAGAAATTCAAATTTAAGAAAATGCAATAGCTTACAGTAAAAGGCACTCCCTCCACACTGCCCACTGAATAGCAATGATCACCAGCATTTGCAGCTCCAGTCAACACTTGATGACGGTTCATTTTAAACAATCAAATGGCTTCTAGAAGAGAAAGAAAAAATTAATTTAAACATTCTTTAACATTAAGCCTTTTCTAAATCTGTTCATTCGTAATAGTTCTTTCATAAAACTAATGATTAAACTTTAAAAAAAATATTAAGGTACCCAGTTCCTAATAACATAATGACATAAAATTCACCAAAATAATCTAGGTAATCAAATGTCTCCTGTCTGAATAAATATGAAACACAACACAAAAGTATACATATAAAATTAAACAGGCTTTAAAATATTTTATATTAATACACCAACTATTATTCTGAGTGAATTCTTAAAAGAAGGATGTGTTAAAAAGAAAAGAATAAAGAAAAAATTAGAACATTTTAACAGCTAGGGATGATATAAACATAATATATAAAAAATAAAAGCAAAGGATAAAAAAAACGATGGTAATAAAAATACTTTACTTTTAATTATTTTATTTTTCACACTCACCAGGATGAATTGTATAAATGCATCAACTCATCATATATAAAAAATAAGGAAATAAGGTGATCCAAAAGTCATATACAAAGTGATCAGAATTAAAACAACCCTAATCTGAGCTCTCTGTACAACAAACTACTGAGTGTAAAGGCTCCGAACTTAGTTCCAAAAAATTCCAAAAGGCTCAAAAAAAAAATTTATTTCAAGACATAGGGAAATGGATTACACAAAAATAAAATTATTCCAGAAACACCGATAAATAGCAGAAAATATGCTGTAAAGACACAAAATACACATTTGTAACAAAATTTATTCAGACGTATCAAACATTCATATCACAACGACCTCATCGATGCAGGCAAAGCTGCTCAGTATGCTTCCTTTCTTCAAGATGCAAAATCTGCAGTCTGTGGACAACTTATTCAACTGTGGATCGTAATTGGTTGATAGAGATGCTTCTCACATGCACAGTGACTCTGTCTTTCAAATCTTCCAAGATTACCAGACGTTATTGATAAACAAGATTTTTTAAGCAACTCCACAACCAAAAATCACAGAGATTAAGATCTGGAGAACGAGATTGCCAGGTTGTCAGAAATGCATGGCTAATTACTCTATCATTAGTAAAATGTTGCCAAAGAAACTATGGTACACAGAGTCCAATGTGTGGAGGCGCTCCAACTTGCATAATAGTAATTGAATCAAGACATTGGCGCTGTTGCATTTGGGGTACAACAAAAGCTTCGAGCATGTTTACATACCTCCTGACCGCCACAGTGCATGTCACAGGGCCACTGTGCATAACCTCTTCAAAAAGAAAGTCTGGTGTGGCTGTAAATCCACACCAGACTGTAACATTTGGTGAATGAAGTGGAATCTCCTGGAAGGTATGGGGATTTTCCGTGTCCCAAATGCAATAGTTATGGATGTTAACTGTTCCACCTAAATGGAAATGTGTTTCAATGCTCCATAGAATCTGCTGTGGCCACGATGCATCCACTACAACTCTAGCCAAAATGTCAATGTAAAGGTCAGTCACTTCTTCCTGTCAATGGGCAGTAACTGCTGATTATGACAAATTTTGTACAAGTAAAAATGCACCATTTTTCTCAATATGTTCTGCAATGCACTGTAGGGAAGACCCAGGAGCTGTAACACTGCACGTGCACTACTACAGCCTACAACGTTATCCATTGACTGCTCAACAATAGCAGTGGCAACGTCTTCTACAACATCTGAAAGAGTTGATTTGCGTCCTCGACCCAGATGAAGTCTAAAATCTCTAGTTTTCTCAGATCGAACGATCATTTTCCTGAAAGCTTGTGGAAGTAATGGTTCTTTGCGTATATTCTTAAGTCGATGAAACCCTCGAAATGCAGGTGCAGCATTTCCTTCGTTTTCATAAAACGACTTCCCAAGCAAAGTGCATTCTGGCAGCGTGACAGCGATCGTTGATAAGAATGACATTTCCCCAGGTTTATCCTCTTTTATGCCGAGAACAGTAGCTGCAAACCAGGGTTTTATGCGAATTTTTGTGCTTACAGTGTGAAATTGCAGTTACAATGACAGTTTACGTTTCTTCACTTTTTGTCACCCTTTTTTCTTTTTTTTTTTTTTTCCATATTAATAACAGAAATTAAAAAGGAAAAATTCCATACCACGTGCTTGTTTTTTTGTGATTATTTGTGTCTTTTCCGCAGATTTTCTGTTTTACAGCGTTATCTATCAGTGTTTCTGGAACTAAATTGCTTTCACATAATCCATTTCCCCATGCCTTGAATAGTATATTCACCATTTTGGAGTCTTTACAATCAGTAGTTCGATGCATAGAGAGCTCAGAGTAGAGGTGTTTAAATTCTGACCACCTTATACATCAAACTCTTAAAAGGTGCACAGTCCAAAACGGATATTAATGGCAAATTGTTTCAATGGACAGCAACCCTATACAGTGACAAGTAATATATCATTTGAAATTTATACTATTAACTTTTAAAACTGCATGTTTGGTCCAAGATGAAGACAAGATTTTTTTAAGTAGAAGGAATTTTTAAGATCAAGCACTGCTTTGCAATACATAAATTTGATTGTGATACTATATTTCTCACACTCTTTGTTGTCAATAACAACATTTTATTCTCGACTTTGTCTATTTCGTTTGAACTTGGAACATTTCTTATAGTGAATATTTTTAGTTTCTCTAAAGCAGATTACCATATAAAAAAATTAAAATCTTGTTAAGTTCACAAACATTTGGGAAGATTTTCTTTAAACACTTCAACAACTTTTGCATAAAAATGTGCTATAATAAAAAACCACAGTCAAAAGACTATTAAACACATCCCGCTACTCATAAAAATAGTGACAGACTATTTTTATGAGGTTGTGGCAAGGACCAAAAAATTACATGATTCTCAGAAGAATTTTAATATATGAGATACTACACAAAACTCTGTGGTACATTTCCACATTTCTTTGCAAACCCAAGATTAAATGCTGTTACCCTTGATGCAGTACTAACAAAATCAGAAAAAAATTATTGGTTGTACTTTGTAAAAGGCTAAGGAATATGAAACAGCAATTGAGAGAAGAATTTGTTACAAAAAGAAAATGGCAGGTGAAATAGCCGGTCAAAAGGCTCATTTTCCAGGATGAAAACCAAAATAATTTATTACAATAGTTTAATTAGTTTCATACCAATGTTCAGACACAGTGAAAAGTCATTCAATTTAGGATGTGATTTCTATGTTCAAATGCAACTACAGTAATAAAAGATCATTATAGAACAACAGCATAGTGTTAAAATTATAGCAAAAGAGTGCTTAAATTAATTGTTTTTCATGATGAAATTTCCAAAACTGAGCTACTATAAGAAATACAAAGATTGAGAAGATACTTAAAAGCAACAAAATTAAATTTAAAAAGCATACACTGGTCTCCTTGAATGTTTTCAAATTCTTTCCATATGAGGCTTTATACAGACCTTGCCAAATCTGACAACAACATTAAAATAATTTTAAATTATAAGCATGTCAGTAGTATCTTGCAAAAAGAGTTTAAGTAAACTTAAAAAAATGAAAATTTTCACAGTTCATGATGTAACATGCATGATTCTGCAATCTTACACAAGCTACTGAAAATAAAATTAAGAAAACATTAGATTTTGAAGTAGTGTAGCTTAAAGTATACAAACAGCACTACTTTTCAGTTATTTCACTTCCTAGTTTCGAGATTCGGTAGAAAACCTGCACATACATGTAAGGCACACATTTGAGAGCAGATGGATTTACATGCATTAATTAATTAATTTAAAAGGTTGGCATGCTTAAAACTGTTCTTTATTGTCTTTTCTGAGAGACAGTTCCAGGATTTCACACTTTTCCTCGAACTGAAAACAATATGTTTGGCGACTTATTTCCTTACTTCACGACACAGTTCTGTTACCTAGTAATCTCTTTGCTTTATTTGAATCTTATGGTGATTTTATCATTTATTTCGTGGATTAAAAAAATTTATTCTATAATAGTTTGGTAATATTAACAAACTTCTTGATCACAATAAGCGATACATTTTCCCTATTTTCATATGCAAATGAGCGAGACTTCACAAATTCAATATCAATGAATCATAAAATAAACTGTAATCACAACTGTAATCAGGAATTGACTGCACAGAATAGCATGAAAATAAATGAAAAGCTTAAATTAACATTATTTTGAAATAATAATACTTTTATACATATTACATCTCTAAATTTGTAAAGTGCAATGTATGTCCGAGTTTTCACTCATTAGTGATTCGGGAAAAACCACAATATGGACTTTGAACAGCTTTATGCTAAGAGTTTATTGAAATTCGAGCCTCAGGCTACTTACTTCAGAATTTTTTTACAAGAAACAAAGTATACTCATAAAGTAACTGGAAAAATTAAAAGATCAAACTATAAAATAAAAAAGTGAAAGAATAAATATACGCTTAGAAAGAGTGACATCTCAACTTTTGCTAACACTTTACCTACCGATCGCCTATTAATCAGTTTTCTATCGCCGACAGCTACCGACCAATAGTTTATTAATCGGCTTTTTATCGGCAACACCTACCGACCAATAGCCTATTAATTGGCTTTTATCGACAATGCCTACTGACCAATCACTTATTAATCGCCTTTGGCTAGACTGGAGATTACGGTCCAGATGGAAGGTGAAGCAAAATTGCGCCAAATCTGGTAACCTCTTGGCTTAAATATGAATCGATGCTTTCCAATCATTTATTGCTCATTTACTGCTTATTACTACTTCTTAAACTTCATGATAAAATGCTTTACTCCATTTTGCTACCGTCTTAAAAATGGTATTTGATATTATGAAACTTTTAATATGTTGATACTATAAAACACAGTTATTAACTTTCAAATACTGTGGTTAAAGTGCAGAATCTCGCACTTATTTGTTTGGCACTTTTTACAAGAGTAAGAACAATTGGATTTTCGTCAATTTTCTTTGACTTTTTAAGTGAAAATAAGTTGATATGTACATGGATAAAGGGAGTGCACACTGCCA